TCTTCACCGACGTACTGCCACCTCTTCATCTCCGTCTTCTTTTTCTTCCTGGCAAATTAAAACTGGCAGGAGATCTCAGTCCTGCCTGGATTGGGCTGACTGTCTCAGTGAAGACTCTTCAGATGTATTTGCTTTGCATTCGATTAGAGCACAAAGGCAAGCAACAAGCATTAATGAATTCATTCGTTTATGATGACAATATGTTTTTGAGTCCTGCAATTGATTTGCCAAGCAAGCTGATAAAAAGAGCAAACCTTGCATTATTTACTGCCCCGAGTCTCAATGTAATGTCTGAATCAACAGACAGAGCTTGTTTGCTTTTTAAAATTCAAATGAAGACAATAATAATCTCCTTTCCAGGAGGCTGGCAGTCCGCTGCAGGAGGGGTTTTACCCACCTCTCTCAAGAAGATGTCATGGCTTAAGGCCAACCTGAATGACCTGGTAAAACTAACTTGTATTTGCCAGAGTTTCAAGGTCTGCACTAATGCATAGGGAGGCAGACACAGGGTCATGTTATGAAAACTCGAAACCAGAGCAAAAAGGCTTTTGACAGTCGGCTGAGTCATCAAGTCCTCGTGGGTAATTAGGCATAATTCCTAATTAAAGTCACTATTTACCTTGGAAAACAAAGGACTGGGCTGCTCCTGCTCTTGCTGGGTGCAGGGCTTGGCTTTGATGTGTTTTCTGAGGACGCTGAGAGGAGGATGGGTAACTGGAGACAGACAAGAAACCAGAAACTAAGAAATAGGAGCCACTGAGAGGGTCAGAGCTGCTTCTGGTGCTTTGGGGTTTCCTCTGCACTGTCCCATGTACAGTGGCAGGATGTGATAGAATGGAGAGGGATGAGCAGTGGGAGCTCAGCTGAACACAGGCTGGATCAAAACCACCCCTGTGCAGATTAATAAAACAAATAAACAAACAAAAAGCAGAGGAGTAAAGAAGTTCCTTTATCCCTCTGGAATATCGGGTACTGCAGGACACACCTCTGCCTCCATGTTCACCCCTAGAGCAGATTGAGCAAACCCATCCTCTGTTTGCTGCTCCAAACAACATGTTCAATCCTTGACCAAAGAGACCATTACAAAAGCAAGCCAAAGGCTCAGTTTAAACCAGCTTGTTTAAATATTTTCATGCTCCATGTGGTTAGACTCCAGACTTTTACTCCCTGCTTACTTTAGCCTGGAAAAAAAAAAAAAAGGGGATGCTGGAAAGCAAAAAGAAAGGCCTGATTCACTGATGAGGACAAGGCACTTCTGAACATAGGGTGCTACAGTTTCCCCAGGAATGCTTTTGGGTCTCAGAATGCCCTGTATTAAATAAAAATAACCAAAGATTGCGAAGGCACATAGGAGATAATTTTACCTGACCTAACAAGTTACAGGGTGCTGTTTGAGTGAACAGTATGCAGGGGATGCTCCTGGCCACAATTAGCAATCATTTGTGGTTATTAATGAACAGCCTATGCTTTCAGCACCCTCAGATTATTTTTGTTCAAGATCCTGAAGTGACTTTGGGTTTACTGGGCATTCCCTTCCCTGCATGCCCATGATGAGAGGTTGGAAGGACCCTTCCCATCTTGCTTCTCCCTCTGAAGTGATGGCTGCAGGAGAGCACCGGTGCCTCTGGGGCTATGCTGAGTCCAGGATCAGCTCCAGCTTCACCCACAAATTACTTGTGGTCATTACTGGCTTTCTGCTGCCCTGGTGTCTTTGGCGCGTCTGGTGTAATGGAGATGCTCAGCAAGGAAAAACCTTCCAGCATGCTTGCCTTGATACCCAGAACCCTATTTTCTTGGTTTTCCTGCATCCAGGAATGTGCTTGCAGGAGCACCTTCACAAGCCACAAACTTTGATGTCCATGGAAGAGACCGGGGAGGCACTTCTTACGTCCTTCTCCCCTTTTACTGGTGACATGTGGCCTGGCTGAAAGCCTACCGTGGTCACAGCCATCTCTCCATGGCCATGGACCAGGCACAGGATCAATGTTTTTTTGCAGAAGATGATTTTTAGGAGGAAAGAGGCAGATGACAGTGGCATGCACTCTTTACAAACAAAGATAAACAAGGGTGCCCTAGATAACTCTGTTCTTGCTGGCAAGGGGTATTTTTAACTGGCAACACAACACAAAAATAACACAGACGGCTGGATAAAAAAGGAACATTTGCTTTTTTGGGAGATGGGTTTGCTGTGTTTCATGGGGAAAGCAAGAAGCTTCTTTTCTGCAGCCCTCTCCTGGCTCTCCATCAGCCACACCATTCCTAGGAGGTGCTACCCATAGTGTTTGCATGAACACGGTAGATGTTTTTAAATGGCAGCTATAAAGTAATAAAGGTTGAAAGGTCAGGCTTGGCTAAAAGCAGCTCTCAGGAGCCTGCATTTATAGCCTGGCCATGCCTTAAACCAAGATAGAAAGAACTGGTTAACTTTATGGATCCACTCATCCAGAGATACCTTGGGCATCTGGATGCTCTGGCTAACGCTGTCAGAAGGCAGAAAATACATCTCCGCCTCAGCGCCACTCCAAGAAGTGACTGTTTATGCAACACTCCTGCCTGCAGCCTGCCTTCCCCATCGTGCAGCAGAGCCAAGGGTGCCCTAGACCATGCCAGGAGCAGGGCTGAGCCTGCCCCTGGCAGGAAGAGGGCTCTGGTATGTCCTTTAGGGTGACTGGGGTTTTCTAGCTGTCAAAAGAGCCTTCATGGCTTTGGGGTAATTTATGTACATGCCTGTCAGCTGGCTTTTCCTTTAGAAAAAAATCAGGAAACAAGCTGGGGTAAGGATGGGATGTACAGCACGTGAGGAAGTTTTGGAGAGAGCCTTAGACCCCTAGGCTATGTGAGGCAGGCAGAATCTGCCAGGGATGTTATATATTCAGGTGGAAAAGCAGGCGTATCCCCATGCAGGTACGTGCACACACATGTGTAAGGGAAATTAAGCCTCTCTCGTGCTTGTCAGGGCTTCATTTGTGGGGAGCAGTCAGGAAAAAGAGTGGCTATGGAGGAAAAGCAAGGTCCATGCTCATAAAGCAGCCCTGTGCTGGAGGAAAACCGGCTCCAGTCTCACCAGCACCTCTCCGTGTTCTTGTGATGTGAGTCAGCTGCTTCCCTCCGCCTTCCCCTCCAGGATGAGTAATTCAGCCGTGATAACCTTTAACGAGTCCTGGGGACTGTCACAGCTTCGTATTTAAATGCAGCCTTGTGTTTCATTATCAGAGCCCAGGACGGAGACAAAGTGCCGGTGTAGGAAATGTGGAGGGGTCTGCTGGAAGTTCAAGAGACCCTTCCAAGAAATGCATTCAGTTCCTATAGCAGCATCTGCATTCGGTGGCGAGGGACCCCCACAACTCAGCCCTGTTGAAACTGCAGCAACCTCTAGTAAATCTTATTTGTATTTTAATGCTTAAAAGCTCCAGCAGCTGCGAGAGCCCTTGCCGCAGTGTTGCAGCACCTGGAGCAAGCCTTTGCTGAGCTGATCCTTGCGGTGCTGAGGCTGTGCCTGAAAGGGGAGGTCTGGTTGCAGCTTGTCCCCTGAAGCAGCCTGGCAGTGGCAGCAGTTCAGTCAGACCGTGTGGACCAAAACGTACATTTCTGGCTCAGACCTGGCCACTAGATTTTCTTAGGCTGTGGGCTTTTCGCAGGACAGGTTGGTTTCATAGAATCATGGAATCATTTAGGTTGGAAAAGAGCCTTAAGATGACCAAATCCAACAATAAACCTAATGCTTCCAAGACCACCACTAAACTATGTTCCTAAGTGTCATGTTTGTGGCTCCTTTTATTTGTACAACAGTTGGAGAGGTGAGTTGTGGCCCGTGATTTGGACATTTTTTGTATCTCATGCAAATAATGACCTAAAGCACCTTGGGCTGAGCCCAGTGGGTGCTGACATTTCCCAGAACAGGTCCTGCACTGTGGGAGGGGGTAGCAAAACTCACATCAATCTCTCTCCCTTTCAAACTCACAGAGAAAGCATCTATACTGCATAACTGATGTGCCATAATTGTACTTGGGTTGGTGAATCAGAGAGGCAAGTAATTTATGTCAAGATTTTCCCATCACCCCTTGCAAATTATAATGTACTATATTGTCATGATAGAATAATGCTTATGTCTAATAAGTAGTTTTGGGTGCTGGCATCTCTTTAAACTTTACTGCAGTGATTTCTTTGCCTGTCCAGAGGTAAAGGCAGACAGCAAGGTCACACAGACAGGGAGGGCTATGTGGCTTCGCAAAAGGAGATGGCTTTTGGAGGTCAGAAAGAAAGGAGCCATTGTGTGTGCATGTCTGCTGCCTGGCATGGGAAGGGCTTGGTGGTCAGCTGGGCTCATCATGTGTCAGATCTGAGCACAGTTGCTGCCCTTTGATTTTGGGATTGATGGGGTTGTTTGATCCCCTGGCATAATGCTTAGCCGTTGCATGAACAAGGGATGCTTCCAGCTTTGAAGTCATGGGGTTTTGCAGAAGCATGTGGTCACTCAAGGCAGTGCAAGTCCTTAGTTGTGGTCTTCCCTCTGCACAAAGGGCCTAGAAAGATGCTAGTGGTGATGCAGATGATGAAAAAGAAGATACAAACAGAGCAGGATAAAACAATAGCCATAGGTGAGCCATTTTAAAACCAGTCCTGTTCCTAGCGACTTGCAAGTGCTGGTTGTGTTGTGCCTCTCTCATATCATAGAATGCCAGGTTGGAGGGAACCTCAAGGGTCATCTCATCCAACCTTTCTAGGCAAAGCATGACCAAGACTACATGGCCCAGCACTCTGTCCAGCTTAATCTTAGAATCATAGAATCGTTAGGGTTGGAAAGGACCCTAAGATCATCAAGTTCCAACCCCCCTACCGTGGGCAGGGACACCTTACGCTAAATCATATCACCCAAGGCCTCGTTTAACCTGGTCTTGAACACTGCCAGGGATGGAGCACTCACAACTTCCCTGGGCAACCCATTCCAGTGCCTCAGCACCCTTACAGGAAAGAATTTCTTCCGTATATCCAATCTAAACTTCCCCTGTTTAAGTTTTAACCCGTTACCCATTGTCCTGTCACTACAGTCCCTAATGAAGAGTCCCTCCCCAGCATCCTTATAGCCCCCCTTCAGATACTGGAAGGTTGCTATGAGGTCTCCACGCAGCCTTCTCTTCTCCAGGCTCAACAGCCCCAACTTCCTCAGCCTGTCTTCATACGGGAGGTGCTCCAGTCCCCTGATCATCCTCGTGGCCCTTCTCTGGACTTGTTCCAACAGTTCCATGTCCTTTTTATGTTGAGGACACCAGAACTGCACACAATACTCCAAGTGAGGTCTCACGAGAGCAGAGTAGAGGGGCAGGATCACCTCCTTTGACCTGCTGGTCACGCTCCTTTTGATGCAGACCAGGATACAGTTGGCTTTCTGGGCTGCAAGTGTACACTGAAGCCGGCTCATGTTCATTTTCTCATCAACCAACACTCCCACGTCCTTCTCCACAGGGCTGCTCTGAATCTCTTCTCTGCCCAACCTGCAGCTGTGGCTGGGATTGCTCCTACCCAGGTGTAGGACCTTGCATTTGGCATGGTTAAACTTCATAAAGTTGACCTCACAAGCATGTCAAGGTCCCTCTGGATGGCATTCCTTCCCTCCAGGGTATTAACCGAACCACACAGCTTGGTGTCATCGGCAAACTTGCTGAGGGCGCACTCAATCCCACTGTCCATGTCAGCGACGAAGATGTTGAACAAGACTGGTCCCAACACCGATCTCTGAGGGACACCACTTGTTACTGGTCTCCATCTGGACATTGAGCCATTGACCACAACTCTTTGTGTGCGGCCATCCAGCCAGTTCTTTATCCACCGAGTGGTCCATCCATCAAATTGACTGCCATGATTTCTCAAATATGATGGCCAGCAGCTTCGCAACTTCATTTGCCAGCTCCTTCAGGACCCACAGATGGATCTCATCAGGACCCACGGACTTGTGCACATTCAGATTTTTAAGATGGTTTCAAACCAGTTCCTCTCCTACAGTGGGCCCAAGGTCTTCATTCTCGCAGTCCCTGCATCTGCCTTCCAAGACTTGGGTGGTTTGGTCAGAGCCTTTGCCAGTGAAGACTGAGGCAAAGAAGTCATTCAGAACCTCAGCCTTCTCCAAATCCTGTGTAGCCAGTTCTCCTGAGAACTTCCTGAGGGGGCCTACATTCTCCCTAGTCTGTTTTTTATTTGCTATGTATCTGTAGAATCCCTTCCTGTTATCTTTAATACCTCTAGCTAAGTTTAATTCTAATCGGGCCTTAGAAAGCGTCCAGTGGTGAGGAATCCACTGCTTCCCTGGAGAAATTATTCCAATGGCTGATTGTTTTTATTGTGAAAAATTTTCCTCTTGTGTCCAGCTGGAAACTCCCCAGGAGTAACTTGTGCCCATCACCCCTCGTCTTTTCCATGGGCCACCTTGCAAAAAGGGAGTCTCCATCTTCTTTGCAGCCACCCTTTAAATACTGGAACATGGTGATCAGGTCTCCCTGAGCCTTCTTTTCTCTAGGCTGAACAAGCCCAGTTCTCTCAGCCTTTTCTCACACGGCTTCCCAGTCCTTGGATCATCTTGTGGCCCTTCTCTGGACCCTCTCCAGCCTGTCCACATCTTTTTCATAGAGCGGGGACCAAAACTGAGCACAGTATTCCAGCTGTGGCCTGACAAGTGCTGAGTAGATGAGACAATGCCAACTGTCACCCACGTTCTCTATGATGATGCCCTTGTTGATGTAACCCAGCATCCTGTTGGTCTTTGCTGTTGCTGCAGCTGCACACTGTTCACTCCTATTGAGCTGCTTGCTCACCAGGACCCTCCAGTCCTTTTCCGTAGAGCTGCTCCCCAGCCAGGTAGATCCCAGCCTGTGCTGCAGTCTTTGACTCTGTTTACCCATGTACAAGACCTTACACTTGTACTTCTAAATGTTATAGGTCCTACACTGCAAGGGACTGTCCCCAGAGATGAAGGGCACCCATGAGCTGTTACCTGGCCAGTGGCTGGGTGACTTGTCAGCTCTGAGTGCCCATGAGCAGTCCTAATTAGAGTGAATAATACAGTTGCCATCTACTACTTTAAAATATAAAAAGCCTTTTTGTTGCCCAGATCTTCTTACCAAACTCAGTTCTGCCACTACCTGCAAAGCAGACCTGCATGGGTTATTTAAGTATAAAGTTCATTTTCCAGGGCTACTGAGCAGTTTCAAAGTACGACAACTCAAAAATCCCAATGTCAATCTAAAAAAATAAAAAAGGAGTGCTTTCTGTAACGTGCTGATTTTTTCAAGTGTCAGCCTCAAGATCTTAGGGGACTTGGTCTATACTTGAACAATTGCAGTTGGTGAGACTAGATTTGAAGGACTGTTATCTGTATATTAAGTCTCTGGCATTCAGTTATGTGTCACTTGTATGAAAACTGAAGCCACCTTCTCCCTCAGATCTCCTGTTAATAGTGTTGCTTTAATTTGGGCTTGTTAACGGGCTGTGTAATTTAAGGACATACCCCTGTGTTTGAAGCATTCCCAATCACATCAAGTCACTCACCAGTGCTAAGTACTGCCCTGCCTTTGCACATGGATGTAGCTGGAAAAAGCAGGGGTCTCCAGAGCCAAACTACAGGTGGATGTCTCCATCTCAAAAAGGAGTTTATGCATATGTATATTTGAGTGGCCAAAAAATCAGGGTCTGTGTGTGCTTATGAAGATGCAACATGCCTGTCTCCTTGCTGGAACAGCCCCCAAAACCCATGGTGTCAGAGTAAAGAAGGGGGACAAGGGATCAAACTAGTGATGCCCGGTTTGGCAGCTGAAGCTCCAGCTAAGATTTCTTCTCTAGAGACATTGTCTCTGGGGTTTTCTCTCCTGCTGCCTCCCTGATGGTCTGCTGGGTCCTTGGGCAGCAGAAGGAAGACGAGGAAGAGAAGGAGGGCTGTCAGACAGTGCTTACTTTTCTGGGGATTTTACAGCACGTGTGCCTGCTCCCTGAGCTTCTTACCACATCCTTCTCTGCAGAAGGATCCCACTGTCTGTGCTGTCTGGTCTCATTCTTCCTCCATGGCTCCTACCTTGCTCTCAGAAGAGCAGTTCAACATGTCCTTGCAGCTTTAAATTCATCCACCTCTCATTGTGTCTTCACAAGAGCAAGGTTAAGCACATGCACACATCTCTGCTAATTTACAATCCAGCTTGGGAACTCCATGGCTTCTGGACGTTGCTGAGTGGTTTTGCCGAGCAAAATAAACATCATCCTTCCAGGATTCCAGCTGATAGTTTTATTTTAGTCATTTTTCCCAGTGGGAAATACAGAATCTACCCTTTAATTCTTTGCTAATACCTGTTTCTTTATGAAATATGTTGCTCAACTGAGTCATGGGGGAGAAGAATTACATCTAGCTGCAGAGTCAGTTCCCACTGCTTGGGATTTATGTCACGGACAACGTCTTTTCATCAGGACATAGTTGCTGTGGACATCTCACCAGCAAGACAGGAAGTTGCACTTATCTTGTAGTGTGCATGTAGAACAGGTATCTTCATGATAAATCCAGTGCCAGTGCCTCACTGGAGGATTTCGTTTCTGTGGTAGGAGGAATCTCATTAACATGAACTTCACAGGAATCCAGCACTGCCAGCCAGAAGACAAGTGCAGCAATGCTGTCATCATTTGTCAAATGGAGAATGACCTTTGCTATCCATTAGGATGAAATGAAAAGCTTTGGGCTTTAACTTTGTTAAAGACATGGCTGTCTTTTTAGATCTTGGAGACAGCGTGTTGCTGAGATTAATCAAATTGTGCATTTTGCTAGTGCTTTAACAGTATTGTTATTTAATTCAATCTCTGTGTGATTTCAAGACAGCAGGCAGAAGAATTGCACTGAGCCTGGATGCAAAATCATCCTGCTGTGGTCAATGTCTGAGGAGGCAGAAGGGGTTTGGAACCAAGTGCCAACCTGATGTTTTTAAATCACACCCCTTGGATTCAAGTTACTTTTGGTCAGAATTAACTTTGAGTGTCTGTAGAACTGTGTATGAACGCTTGGAAGAGCGCAGCTGCAGGAAATGGGTGCACCTCACCCTGGTCTGCTATAAATCTCCCCATGGGAAGAGGGTGTAGAGATGGGGTTTGTATTGCATTTTACTTTGAAAAATGTGGATGTCCCAAGGAAAGGTGGCTATGCTGAAAGGAGGGAGAAGGCATTGATCTGCTGGCATTGGCCATCAGAGAGGGTGCCCACAGAGGGAAGTGGGGCAGGGGATGAGTGTCCTTTGCCTCTCAGTGGTGGCTGGGGCAGGGGCTAGCAACCCGACCTAGGGAAAGACATCTCTGGCCATGGCATGGACATTGGAATTAGATGATATTTAAAGGTCTTTCCCAACCCAAACCATTCTATGATTCTGAAACCCCAGAAATCCTCCTGAGCTCCTTGGCCAACATTGCACATGACCTGTGTCTGGCAGCACTTCCCTCTGTCCCCACAAGCGTTTCCCTGCTCTTTTTTTCTTGTCACAGTGAAGCCTGCCTCCACTCTGGTGGTTGTGTGGGTTGATAATTTGGGATCATCTGTGTCCTGGACAACTCTTGGTGTTCTCACACCAAAAAGGAACCTATTTTATTGTGTAACCCTCCCCCCCCCCCCGCCCCCCCGCCCAGTATTTCTGTTTTTCTGGCAATCCATAAGGTGAGGACACTTCTGCTGCTGACCCATGCATGCAAGACAATAAGATGGAGGCTGAAACCTTCTTGTCTTCACCCAGGAGCTACACCCAGCTCTGCATCCCTGAGTTTCCAGCCATTGCTGCTCTCTGGGAAGCTGGCTGCTGCCGTACAGCCAAGTCCCATTCCCAACTGACTTGAGCAAAGGCAGAATAAGCCTGGAGCAAACAAAACAAACCCCCAAAATCCATGCAGCTGTGTGAATCAGTTTGAGGTCTCACCTTACAGGCTTCTCTGTGTGGTACAACTGAAAAACTACGATTGGGCCTCTGTTTAGAAAAATGGCTGTGTTTATAGATTGTAACCCAACCTGTATTTATTTCAGTGTAGGTCTGTGCAGATGCTTAACGTAAACATAAAAAGATCTTTTTCTTCTGCTTAATGTATCTGCTTATTTACAAACATAAATAAAATCTACTTTAGTGTGTATCATGTAACAGGGTCTTGTCTTGAATGAACAGCAAGCA